GGTGCCACCTCACTTGCCCGTCCACACGGTGTTCCACTGTTCCAAACTCGCTCCTTTTGTTTCAGTGGAGTCCGACGAGTTTCCCGGTCGACGTACGCAAGACCCTCCTTCCATGGACGGATTTCAGGAGGCCGGCTACATCATCACCGACCAGCGCCATGGCAACAAAAAAACAGAGTTTCTACTTCACTTTTCCTATTGCAGCCACAAGGCTGACCGTTGGCTGACGCGTTCGGAACTGCAGGCCACAGCCCCCGCCGTTCTCGCACGCTATCTTAGCAAAGAGAAGACTACGCAGAGCACTTCAGCTCCTCGCCATCCTCGGTACATTCCGCCATCGGATCGGCAGCTTCGCCCGCGCCCCGGCTCGTCTTCATAAGGAGGGGGGCGTGTTACATGCTGAAAGCCTACACACGGGCCCCTCACGGGACCCDAGGTTGGAATAGGGCCCCCAGGTCGCGTCACCGCAACCTGAAGGCCCTATGGCATTTTTACTTGGGCCTGCATCAGAAAAACGCCAGCTTTAGATTATTTTTATAGTCTTTATTTTATTTATTTGCTGCTGTTTTTCTAACGGGTGTACTGTTGTCCGTTTTGTGGCCAGGTACACGCTTTTAGGGCCAGGGCCAGATTCAGGCCCAGAGGCTGAGCTCCTAAAAACGTTTGGACCTTTTATTTTGTTTTTGAACAGATTTTGACCTGTTCGAACCCAGGCCTACGTTGAGGCCGGGTACGTCCGCACAGGACCGGTTTGAAGCCAGGTACCAGGAAGATTAATCCTGGACAGGGCCTGGACGTCCGGTAGGGACCCARGCAGGCCGTTTTTAGGCCAAGGACTGAACCAGTTTCGAAGCCTGCGATCTGGACTGTGGATCGGAGTTTCGATCTGCACGGTCCAGAACGCAGGCCGTGGGTTCTCAGTCCTGGCCCAGCACTACTTAAGCTGGGCCATTGCCCAGTTCGGACAGAAGGTACTGGGAGAAATCCAGCGTTATGCTGGTTCAGGAACTTGGCTGCTGCGCTATTTTGGAGACTCCCTGCTGCGCTATTTCGAGACTGCAGCTGCGCTGCTCATCGGCCATGAGGCACAGCGCTAGGGGAGTCCAGCGCCGAGGAGGGTAGTGGAGTTAGAGAGAGAGAGAGAGAGATAGATAGATAGATAGATAGA